TCTTGGTAAGGCAAATCATCCAAACTTTCACCTTTCCAACTCCTTTTTTTTTTTTAAATTCCTATTTACTACCTCTTTAAATTTACTCATAAATAAATTTGTACTATCCTTCACCGTGGTAACTATATGAAAGAAATATACATATTTTTTTGTGTGAATGGGAAGAAATGGTTTCCCTCTTGTTATTATTTATAAATGCTATGGGCTCATATACTACTTTTTCATGAAAAATATATAAATATAGAAACAAATATTAGTATAAAGATATAATCAACCAATTAAAGAATAATTAAAGAAAAATTCAATATAAAGTTCAAATAAACCTATGTATATTATAATGGTTTTGAGCATGAATTTTCAGAATTTAGCTCAAGACAAAGCTAAGCAGAGCCGAGCTGTCAAGTAAAAAAAGAGTGGTTGTTGGGGAGAGATTGGGTGGTCTTGGATGGCCACCAAACTACATTTAATTATGGTTAAACATGATTTGTGTGAGTGATCAATTATTCTGTGTCTCCAAACTCCACTTTAATACACAAACCCACAACCTTCCACTTTTTCCCTTTTAACAAAATCAACAATAATTCCCTCCTCTTCTCTTCCTCTCATCTCTCCACTAATCATTTCTTAATCCATTTTCCAATCTGAAAACAAAAGAAAAAAAAATCCTCATTATCTCACAGGCTTCTCCTTTTCCTTATTGGTGCCCCTCCTCTTTCTTTGTTTTACATTTGTCAACATCCACAAATATTAACCTTGTGGGTTCATTTTGTCCACTTTAGTGTTAGGAACAAGAATCTCAACTTTTGTTTTTCTTCTTTTTTTCTTAAATCAAAATATAATTTTAGAAGGCAATTCAAATTAAATTTGATTCTTGTTCATTACTTTTCAATATTGTTATTATTCTCATTCATAAATACAAGATCCCCACAAATCAATAATTCAATCTTATTAATATAAACAATAATCATGAATATATTAAATAATAGATAAAAACATAATAAAGAGGATATTAATTTTCCTCATAATTTTCCCAAAAAAAAATCAAAATTGTAATCCATACCCATATCTCCTCCATTCTTCTTTGGCTTGTCTTTGCATTTTTCACCTTCTCCCATTAGTATAGTCTTTAATAAATCTCTAATATTTTTGCATGGAAAGGTTTCAATTTTTGTGCATAGTTTATGTTTACCTTACGAATTACAATGCCCCATAGCCCTTATTAGGTACCCACCTCACTCTTTCTCCATCTCTCTCTTTTCTCTCTTTTTCTGAGCAAAATTCCCTCCCCCACTCTTCAAGCAAAGCAGCTTTCACTTTTCTTCTTTTTTATTCTCAAAAACAGAACCTTTCTTTTTAGCTTCTCTCTCTTTCCTCTCTTTTGGTTTCTGGGTTTCTGTGCTCTTGTTTTTCTTACATTGAGATCTGTTTCAAAGCTATGGGCTTTTATGAAGAAACTTGCACCAACTCTAGAACTACAAAAAATGGCTTGACAGCTCTATATGCAGCTACCTCTACTCCACCTACAGATCATTGTTTTCACTACAATGAGTCAAAAATCAAATCTCTTTTCACAAAAATGATTTGGGATTTTGGTTTTGCTTGTATTCTTCCTGGTAGTCAAAGGAAAGGCTTACGGAGGAACCAGAAAAACAATGGTGAGAAGAAAGGCAGCAATTTGGAGCATAACAAGGCTTGGTTGTTGGCTGAGTCAGGTGGAGGAGCTGAGTTGACAAGTACTGAGCCACAATCAGTTCACTCATCTTTCAGGTTCAGTTTTTGTTCTCAAGTTGAACTTGAAGCTATGAATGCAAATTCTTTGAGTTCAGCTACTGTTTTGATGGTGAATTTGGATAATGGGGTAAGTGAGGAGAGAGCTAAGGAATTGAAATGGAGAAGGATTGAGTCTTTGGAAAAAAGTATTTCACCTGTCGCCAATTCTTTGGTTAGATTCAGCTATGGTGAAATTGTTTCAGCTACTAGGAACTTTTCCAAAGGTATGATTTTTAATGAATTTGGTTTCTTATTTTTAATTTCTTTTCTTAATTTTTCTTGCTGGTTGGTTTATTGTTTTTGTGTGGGATTTTGATTGGTTTTTATTGGAATGGGGTAGGGAGAGTTTTGGGGAGAGGGGCATTGAGCTTTGTTTTCAGGGGTAGAGTTGGGCTATTGAAGACAGCTGTGGCTATTAAGAGGTTGGATAAAGAAGATAAGGAGTCTGCTAAGGCCTTTTGCAGAGAATTGATGATTGCTAGTTCTTTGCATCACCCAAATATTGTTCCTCTTTTGGGATTTTGTATCGATCCTGAGGAAGGTCTGTTTTTGGTGTATAAGTTTGTTTCTGGTGGAAGCTTAGAACGCCATCTTCATGGTAAGTTTTTAGCTGTTTTCTTATGGGGATTTTGTTTGGATTTATAACGAATTTTGAATGATTTGTGAGATGTAATTTGCAGATAAGAAGGGAGTAAAGGGACGTCCTTCAACTCTTCCTTGGTCTGTTAGGTATAAGGTTGCCTTAGGGATTGCGGAGGCAGTGGCATATTTACACAATGGAACTGAAAGATGTGTTGTTCATAGAGACATTAAACCCTCTAACATTCTTCTTTCTTCCAAGAAAACACCCAAGGTGAGGAACTCGGTTAGAATTGTTAAGTGGAACAGAGTCGAAGTTGGTTTGGTCTTTTTGCAATTGATCATCTAATTCTGTGATTGTGGTGGTTGCAGTTGTGTGATTTTGGATTAGCGACTTGGACTTCTGCACCCTCAATTCCATTTCTTTGCAAAACTGTTAAAGGAACATTTGGGTATGATATCAAGAACAATTTTTAAAAGAAACAAGAGGAATTCTTTTTTCCATTTTCCTCCATGAAATGCTCAGTAAAGATGAATTTGCTCCCTAATTTTTGTAAAATTAAATTTGGTTTGCAGGTATTTGGCACCTGAGTATTTCCAACATGGAAAAGTATCTGATAAAACGGATGTTTATGCTTTTGGGGTTGCCTTGTTGGAGCTGATAACTGGACGGAAACCAATTGAGGCAAGAAGGCCCCCAGGAGAAGAGAATTTGGTCCTATGGGTAGGTTATTGTACTAATTTCTCATAAAACTTACCATGCTTTGCATTGACTTTGTGATAATTGTAATTGGTCCCCCTTAATAGCTTTCCTTCAAGAACCAAGGGGGGGAGGGGTGGGGGTGGAGTAGACGTCGAAATTGACTGTACTGAAAATACTTAAACCAGTTATAGATGATGACCACCTGATAATGAAATTTCTCCTCATAGTGGTCCGCGGAGGTAAAATGTCTACTTGCTCATAAATCATTAGATATTTGGGGTTTAAACAAGTGCTCTTGTGGTGAGACAGCTCTATCATGGAACTTCCTTCTGTTTTTTTCCTCTATGGAAATTTGCGGAAATGTTGTGGCATATTATTATCAATCCAGAACTAGTATTCTAAATTTTTCAATAGCTTCTCAAATCTAGTTTTTTTAGAATTCATTGATGTTGTCATCGTTTGTGCTTCAAGGACCAATGCTTTCGAACATAATCATGATTTGGCCGTCAGCCCTATGTAGTTAGGTTGCTCTGATATGGTTTGCACATTGCAACTCTTTGCAACCTATTACTTGTTCACTTTTAGTATAGACCTTATAATGATGGTAGCTTAATATTAGCTGTAAAGTTGAAATTGTAATCTTGAAGTTGCTTTTTCAGGCAAAACCTCTTTTGCACAGAGGAATGGCAGCTGTTGAAGAATTGCTTGACCCAAGACTCAAATGTACTTTGAAAAATTTAACTGAAATAGCACGAATGATGCAAGCTGCAGCAGCCTGCATAAGCAATGAAGAATCACGAAGACCTGGCATTGATGAAATTATTGCTATGTTGAGAGGTGAAGAAGAGCCATTTTACCCAATTAGGAAGAAGTCCAATTTCTCTGGGATTATTGATTGTTACCCTCAATTACAACATTCAAAAAGTGAGATGAAGAGTCACTTAGCTTTGGCAATGTTAGGAGTTTCAGAGTTTGAGGATGGTGATCACCTTTATTGTCGTTGAAACACACTGTATTTCTATTCATCTGATTTATTCCCCCACTTTTTTGCTTTGTTGCTTGCTTGACGAGAAAGTTTAGGCATTAGAACAGGGGCAAAGAAAAAGAAAAAAGAGTAACTGAATTTGTAAATAGGAAAAGGAGTCTGATGAAAGCCGGTTGTGTGTACATACCCTGAATATCCACCTCTATACTCCTGGAAAGCTACTGATTTTCATGTTAAGTTATAGTATTTGGAGTTCTAAGATTGTTGAACTGTCCTTATTGTTGATAGTAATGTTTTGGAATTATGCGCTTCTGCATAATTTCAGTTCTTGTACAAACAGGGTAAGTTTTGGCTTCCAATACCTTGGTGACCGGAAGACCTTGCTTTTAAGGTATCTTGTCAGATAATGTGTGAATTTCATTAACTGTGAGTAGATTTGTTCAACTGCAATATTTCTTAACTCAGATTGGCAGTGCTTATAAACTGTGGTTGATTGTTAAGTTTGTTGAATCAGTAAGGAATCATCTATTCTGTCACAACCATGACAGTGGCCAAAATTAGGTCAACTGGCCAACCTTTTTTATGATATAGATTGGCGAGAAGATTCTGAGATGGGAAGCATGAAACCTTGAATAATATTTGTTTATACGTACGTGCATACATATATATATGCATGCGATGAGCTTACTGTCTGTCAAACAATTTCCTATGTAGTTTGAGCTCATGTGGCAATGATCATTTTATTATATGTTAAATCAACGAGGATGGATTTGGTGGTATCATCTTGTCGAACAAAATAGATTAATAAAGTTTGTAGCTCATGCATTGGATAAGCCTACCCAGGTTGAAAAAAGGGTCGTGGATTATCAAATATCCTGGGTCAATAAAAAAACCTACCTTTCTTACAGTTGACAAGCAAGAAACCAAACACTGAAAAGCAATTAAAACTTGAAAGACAGGAGGTTACAGTTTAACTACCAACAAGTTCTATCATGTAACAAAAAAACAAATAAAGAAAAAAGAAATCCAGTTGGACCCATATGAAGAGTGAACCTCTCACAATCATGGAGATTAAAGTTTCAAAAACAAGTTATCAAATTGGGAAAAGAACGTTAAGCATGCATAGCTAGAAAACTTAAAATATTTTCGCAACATCTTTCATTAGGCCACTGTTGGCAGAGGCGAAATCAGTGAACTCCTGGTACGAAATGTAGCCGTCACCATCGGTATCGATCTCAGCCATCATCCGTCTAATTTCATCCCCCGTGACAGACCCGAGTGTCTTCAATGCATCTCCTAGCTCGGCTGCAGAGATTTTACCGTCACCATTGGCATCAAAGCGTTTGAAAATGCGATCGCGCTCAGCCTTCTCTGCTTCATCAGCCATTTCCTTTTTGCTGTGGTATGTGGCGGTGAGAGTAAACTTGTTTATGGTTTTGGGTTATGTTTTGTCGAATGAGATAAGAGTGAGGGGGAGAGGAAGAGTTTTGGGTTTTAAAGACATGTTGTAGTAAGAGTTGAGGTTGTCCTTTGATGAAGGGAATCTGGCATTAAGAACGGATCACCTGTAAAAATGCTGGTGACTTCCAACCGCTTTACTGAAATTAAGGTGAAAAAAGAACACCTGTCTGCATTAGATCATAGCTAAGGAAGTGTAGGGACAAACTTTAACCAATAGAATCAGTCAAGCACCAATGTCACCATTCCAATTTAATGACAAGACAGTATAATGTTATCTTAAGATGTTACGTTTTTCTCCTACTTTTGTCTCTTTCATTTTTTATAATTTGTCCAAAATGCATTTTCATTTTTTTTATATAGTTAGCATTTTATTCATCCATAGAAAAATTTGAAGATAGGGTGAGTGTTTATAGCCTAATTGGCAGCCACATGAAGTTGGATTAATATTTGAAGAAAGGGTGAGTGTTTAAAGAAGATTTGCATAGAAAGCAATATGAGATTGCTATCTGATTTGACATGGGGAGTCTTCCTTAACCAGCTTCAATCAATTGGATCAAATAGAATTTCACAATAAAAAGCCTTCTCTTGTCAAACAGAATAAAATAAATCATAAGTTTCACTAATGATGATTATATATGCAAATGTTGAGCATGCTCCAATGCCACAACTCCCATTTGGGATTTGGACAAGAGCTCTGCATATAAAACCCAGAAAAATTTAGCATGGTTTGAGAACTCTAATCCAGAGTTCAGGACAAGTCAACATGGTGAAAACAACTCAAGCTCAACTCAATTATGAAACTCATAAGGCTTTAAACATTGTGAGAGGTTAATTTTTCAGACCCGAATTAAACTGAAAGGATAAATGAAAAAATAACCACAATACTAAAGCACTGGCTAGGGTAGTCAATCAAGCTTGAGTGTGAATATTCAAACTTAGCACTGACCGAGTTGAATCCAAATATTGTTCGAATAGAGCCTGAATAACTCATGAGTGGACTTAACTGACACCCTTAATTTGAGATTTGAGTTTACCTCTATCCTTTTAAAGGGAAGGGTAGAAAAGCCTTCCATCATTCACTAAGTGAACCAATTTAAGCTTATACATGCTTCAGAGTTTGTACCGCTTTAGGCAAATAGACTGTATATATACTACAAAATTGGACAAAGAGAATACAAGAATCACCAATTGTTGAGTAATGATACTGATGTTCTCTGTTTACAGAATTATAATCTCACGCAAGAAGCTTGCATAATACGGAAGGTTGGGGCAACTTTAGGCTGACAGACAAGGTAATAGTGATGAAAGAATATTACTAGGGCATATGCAGATTATTCTATGAGCTCAATTCCTATTTGAGCCCTAGCCACCAAAAGAGATTAAGGTACAGAACTTGAAGGTCACCTAATTACAGGAGTTTGGAATAAAACCTATGCTACAGACTTGAGAAAAGCATCAAGAACAGCGTCTCTAGTTGGCAAAGCTGGAATTGCACCTCTTTCCGTCACAGTCAATGCACCGCAAACATTAGCAAACTTGAGTGCGTCTCTCAATCGATCTTCATCCTACAAGATTAAACCGATAACATTACAACTTGATTCATATTTCTTCGGTTAATGAGGAGAGAACAAGAGAATTCTCATCACAATATCTATACTCTGACTCATGATTCAAGGAAACATTATGCATGGTAATAAATTGAAAACTATCAGAAAATGACAGGCAATAATCTCGCAGCCCGAAATTCTTTACCATTGTCCAACAACAGAACTATGTATTTGACATGGTAAATCATCTAAATTATGTATTTGAAAATTTTAAATCACTATTTTTAGTCTGATCTGAGTATATGTTCAATAACCTAGGATGAAGTGAATAACACACACAGCAAGCAGCGTTCAAGCTTATAGGTCCACACTAGTAAGCACGTAAGTGTTTTAGCTTGTTCTTCAACAAATTAAATGCAGTCTTGACAGTTGATGCATACTTTATTTTTCATGGTACTGAGTTCAAATGAAATATATCCTTCCGTTTCTTCTCCCTACACAGCCCCTCTCCCCCCAAAAGCTCCATTACTTATTTGTTGAATAGAAATTTGACATTTATGTTTGTAGTTATAGTTCTTAATCTTAATGAGATGACAGCAATTACCATTTGAGCTACCGGGCAACTTGCATCTCATAGGGTTTCAATCACATCTGTAATTAAAAGCATTTCTGGCCCAAAAAAAGTTGAAAGAGGAAGAAGTATTTGGATGCTTTATTTTTCTAAGTATTTACCATTGACTCATTGTTGATAGCAGAGTCCTTACAGTAAAGTCATTAGGAATTTGTATTTAATTGCATTTGATCCATGAAATCATGAAGTTCTTTGTTATTGAAATTCTTTCAAACAAACAGGCGCTTATGAACTTTACATTCAGAAATCATTGAAATGTTAACAAGTTTTTTTTTTTTTTTCGTTTCAACATAAGAAGGAGAGGGGACAACAGCTTCTGCAGATCACACAAGTCCAGGCATATAATATGACAAACTAGATTGAGTGAAGACAAATATTTCGACGAAAAATTTAAAACGAAAATGGGGGGATGAAAAAAGAGAGGGAAAAGAGAACACAAGAACAGACACGCATCACCATGGGTATGCTGGATGGCAAAGTTCCTTACAGATAGGAAGGGGGTACATATGTTTGCAGCATTGATTTACAAATGGGACCTTAATCCATGTCAGCCTCAGCTATTAATATCCCTAAGAGAAGGAAAACATTGAATAAAAGTAGCAAGTATATTATTGCACAAAATAGAGTTTTGAGGATCAAATTGCAAAACTCCTGTACTAATTGTGGACTTCACCTAAGACAAGTAAATTGGTAGTACTGGGGGCAGATTCGAAGCTCAAATGGTCGAGTGAAAAACATAAAATATGCATATATTTCATTAGGATAAGCAGGTTATTATAGATTATTTGATAACATTGTAGTGATCACTCAATTTAAGTGTTTCTACTTGAAAGGGCGATACCTGAAGCAAGGAAAGATCAGAAGCTAGTTGAGCTAAAATCCCAGCTACAAACGCATCCCCAGCACCAGTGGTGTCTACTGCTTCTACCTTCAAGCCCTTCACTCTCCCATTGAATTCCTGCAAAATATGATCTCTTTCTGATTTTCAAATCACCGATAAAATAGAGTGCTTGTTCTCGTAACTTGTACTTTGTAGAGGAATTATATTAGCCAAACCCAAAGAAACACCTGATAATAATGTTAACATGATAAACCGCCTTTAACTTTTCAGGGTGCCTTTTAAGGATAGCCCATTAACATATTGAAGGTAGTTAAGGATTCTCAAAATGCAAATTGACAGCTGTTTAATGCAGAAGAATGTTTCTTTAACAGCTGTCAATCCTTTCTAAGCCTCAGATACCAGATTCTGGAAAGTGTTGGAACAAGTTTTTCATGATGGTTAAGCATCATAAGAAATATTGTCACATATATTAAAGTCCAAGATAACTGTCAGAGCTTAACAAAATGAATAAATCTCTTTGTAAGAGATTCAATTATCAAATGAAGACTAATGATCATCAAGCTCTTTTCCATGGTGCTCAAAACTCCAAGACTCTGCATCATCAGATATCCAAGCATATCTCCTAGCATGTTAGAAGTAATCATCTTATACATCAAAGTAAGAATCTACTTGATTTTTGTCAACTCCAAAAAGCAAGAATCTAAAATAGAGATGGGCAAAAAGCATGTCCCTGACAAATTCTTCCCCAACCCACGCTAGTTGGAGCTTTGTTTGAAAAATGGGGTAACGTGTGGTAAGGAATGGCTTTCAAAATAAAAATCAGCGCTGGGGTGAGGTTGTGTTTAGGTTGCCATGTCCTGGCCCACTAGTATATTTAAAAATATAATGATATTACTTTTTTTAGTTTTTGTTTACATATATGTATTATATTACATAATTTTGTTATTTGACACTAATGTGATTATTTAACAATAAAATGTAGTTTTATTAAAAGGATAAATGATTTCATGAAAAATTTTAAAATAAATAATAGTAATAGTATATCAGGATGACACAAGATTTTTTTCTCAGAGGGCGTGGATGGATTTGAAAAATGATAACCTGACCTTGGGGGATGGGAGAAGGGGGGTGGGGTGGGGGTGGGTGTTGGTCAGGTTCATAGTGACCATATCAAGGTGCCCATTGTCATCCCTCATCTAATAAGAAGATTCCAGCCATCAGTGTTCAGATGAATCCGGACATTCAAATAACTTTCATGTGGAAGGGAAAATAAATGTCATAAGAACTTATTTAGAGTGCTTACCTTGGTGTAATAACGACAACCATCTGGGCCCTCAGTAACAAGAAGCAATTTAAGATTTGAGTGGAATAATTTACGGACAACAGCATCATCGTATGGATCTTCTCCTTGTGTTAGAAAAGAAATCTCTTCTTCACTTATCTGAAATTCACTCAACTCATTAATTGAGATCATCAATACAGTACTGCCTTTTACTTTGTGCATTGCATTCTACCTCTGCTTAAATCATCTGCTATGATAAGTTCACTACCTTGATAATGTCGGCAGTATCCCAAATGCTCAGAATTCCTTCCCTGGCACTCTTGGCAGAAGGCCACAATGGAAGCCTAAGGTTGGGATCGTAGGACAGAACAACACCTGCATCCTTTGCAGCTTTTGCTGCAGCCATATGAGCTGACTTGCATGGCTCTGTAATAAGACTTATAGAACCATAATGAAAAATTTTTGCCTGCCAAAAGATGGAGATACATATTCAAATATTACATAAATCAGTGAATTTCTGAAAAGAGAAAAGAAGAAAACAGAAACCAATTTGCTATAAAGAATGGGACCCATACAACAATTAAGCAGGATTTAACACCTTGCCATTGCCTAACAGAAATATTAAGAGCCTTAGATAATGAACTTTAAAGTTAAAAAAAAGATAAGGTAAATGAAAGGAAGGTGCAATGGTATTGATGACCAATGTACTGTTAGAAATGCAAACATATTCCACAGCATAAAACATGTTGACTCATTTAACATAATAAAAAGGTTAAAAATTTAGTGTCCCTTCAAAAGTTTGTGTACTTGAACTATGTAACAGCATGGAAGTCACCCATGACACCAAATACAATTATACATATAATTTCTCACTCTATAACTGTTATATTTAGACGATATTTGCTGCTATTTGTTCTCTTATATTTTGTGGGTGTAGGTGTTTTACTTTTGTTTGATTAACAGTCAGAGTGGTGCCATACCTTCCTAATTAAATCAAAATCAAGTTCGTTTTCTTGGAGCAACATATCTGCACTAGGATTACGATAAAACATGAACTCACGTTCCCCATCACTCCTTAGTGTTACAAATGCCAAAGCAGTTCGTGCACCAGGATCAAAGCGCATCCCTTCATTGTTGACATTATTTTCCTTTAATATGTCGGCAAGCATGTATCCAAATTCATCTTCACCGACCTGTCCACATGATATAATACATCAAATCTAAGTAAAAATATAAATGAAAAACAAATTTCATTTTTTATTTTCATCTGTTTAGATAAATACATAACAGCATATCTCAATGTACCCATACAACCATACTAAATTATATGTGGTAAAAAATACGAAATGACTTATGAATAATGTCAAATTTAGAATCCACATAAACTATCAATTGTATTGTCCCAAAAAGAGTATATAGCCGGACTGTAGTTATTCATTAAAGCAAAAGAATAAGTAATTGTTGATCATAACTTCAAAGTTCAAGGCCGGTTCCTGCTAATTGATTGAAATTTTAACTTCCACGGAGAAAAACAGGTAAGTCCTTCCTCAACTTTATAGAGATAATATCATCCTCTTAGTCATCATTTATTATGATGAGCACCGTGCACCTTTTACATGCATGACCTACAGATGCTCTCAAGTCTTCACACATTTACATTCTTATCAGAATTGGTGGATGTCAACTACAAGAGCATGACGTTGGAAGAAAATAATCTTGTGAAAGACTAAAACCTCTGTATAAAAGGGGTTAGTATAACAAACTTCCCTTAAAAATGATTGAAATTGACAAACAAATAGATTTCGAAATTATCATGAATCTTTCTCAAGGCTATGCTGCCCAATTTAATGATGAATCAAAGAATTGATAAGGGAGCATGATGTTAACAGAATAGAGCAACGAAAGTTGATAGGATTAGAGGTAATGTTAATAAGCTGAAGACATTCCAGAGGAGAGATTTTGAAACCGACCTAGGACAATAGCAAGCATGAACCTGATATGTCGATATCATACTTGATAAACAAAAACAACCCATATATCTATTAACCAGGGGATATTTTATGCAAAGACCAACATCAAAAGGTTTTTGAACAGAATCCTATAAAACTGATTATATAAATTGAAATTCCTAAGGTTCTTTACAATGAATATTCACTAGAAAGAATAAGAATGTTACAAAACTAAAAATTCAACAGACAGAACTGAGGTAGCAGTCATGGTTTTGAAGTGTTGACAATTAACCGAGTATAAGAAGCAGGTAAATAAAAGAATTCAATCAAGAAAGTACCTCTAGAAATTCTTTAAAAGAGGGCAGAAAATAGCTATTCCGTAAACAAACTGAAAGACAAGCTAAATTGGCTAATCAACACTACAGCAGCTGAACTAAACATACAATTGCCACAATCACAATTTTTACACCCATGTATAACAAACAAAATGAACCAGTACATCTGTAATGTACCTTCCCAATAAAAGCTGATGAGCCTCCAAGACGAGCTATGCCAACAGCTACATTAGCAGGTGCACCTCCAGGGGCTTTCTTAAATGCAGGAGCATCTGCCAAAGAAAGCCCACTGGTAGTTGGGACAAAATCTATCAGCATTTCCCCAAAACAAACCACAAGGGATGAATCATTTGTTTCAGGTAATCCATCACCAGGAAACACTTTACCTAAAATAATAAATATGAAAAACGAAAGGATTAGTTGTAGAAAGTAAGAAAGAACAAAATATACAGAGGTAATTGGAACTGAGGGTCAAAAAGAAAGACTACAATTGTATTAACATATAAAGTTCATTCACCAATTATCATCAGTCCAGCTTTAATACTAAGTTCAGAGTTTGTTCAAGTTCAAACTTTGGGGTTCAACACATCTGGTGCTATTCAACCAGTCTCAAGATGCCCAAGTAAAAGCACGATTTGCTGTCGAGAAAATATGAACCCAGAGAATACAAACATAATCCCCTCCTGGCATTATTATTAATAAAAAAGGACCGCCAATTGAAACTACGAACAGCTTGATTTGATTTTTCTTTCCAGTTCACACAATGATAGCTTAATGTAACATTATTTTTTGTTTCACATTGAATCAAAAGTAGCTTCCAAACTTTAACTCTAAAGATATCATGGTGTTGCTGAAAGGGTAGAGGTTGGAGGAAATGTGAGACTATACAGGCATTTTCATTACCAACTGATAGAGATTTAAGTACACAAAATGAGCCAGACCAGTCAAAGACCATAATCCTTTGCTAATTTGAACTGAATGGTAAAAGACATCAACCAAATTGTGTGTACACATGATACGTGTGTGGGGATTTTATGAACACTATTTGATTGGTTCTTCAAAAGTTGCTGAAAGATTAAAAAATAGCTCTCCAGTGGAATCTTGATGCTAAGTATGTTGAACCTAGCCGCATTGCTTTACTGATGGGGTATGTCAGTTGGGTGATTTGTATTGGTAAGTATGTTAATAATTTAGGATTACATAAATTTCAAAAAGACTACATAAACTCCTAAATATCTTTGCATCACTTAAACTGATCCTTAATTCAATTAATCAAATGGCAGTAGCCACTTTTCTTGATAACGTTTCTTCCTTTTGCTTCTATACATTTGTTTTCTATATGTGCACATGTCCATTTTCTAAATCAACTTTTACTCAATATATGATCATTAGAAAAAGGCAAGCAAGTATGCTTGAAAAACCCTTATTTTCCAACTTCCTATATAACTAAGTTTGGAAATCCTTGTCTTTAAATTTTCCAAATTTAGCTACGTACCTTATTTTATTGATCATATTTAGAATAAAAATGAAGACAAAAAATGGAAGATACATTTTCCAAAACTAAATGCGCCCTAAATTACTGCAATAAATATATAAAAAAAATATATCACCATTACTCAAAACTAACCGAGACTGCCCTAAGCATTACAGACCAAAATCAAAGCTAATCATGTGGTCTTAATCCTAGTTGAATAAAAAAAAACAAAAAAAAAAGACAGCATTTCACTTCTTCTACATGAAACTTACATAATAATAATAAAATATAAAACATGTAAGAAGAATTAAACTACCTTGAACTTGCACCTTATGACCCGGAAAAAGCGGAGAGGAAGAAACCCCAGAAGCTCTAACTGTCACACGACCGAACTTTACGGAATTATGCAGTGGAAAACAAGCCAAACCACCCGAAAAGCAGAGGGAAGTTGTGTAAAGAGCAGCCATAAAAAAATTATCACAAAACAAGAATTAAAAGAAGAATTCAATTATTATAAAATGTTGATCGTAAATTTGTGGTAGTTTAAATTGGAGATGATTGAATTGAGGTGGATAAAGGGTGGGTGAGAAATGGAATTGGCATTGGATTCAACTAAAAGCCAAAAAGAAGGATTCTTTTGGCTATGGGTTTTTGTTTGGAGGAAAAGGATAAACAGAGGCAGTGAGAGTGAGAGTGAGTAACGGAGATACCAAAGGAGGGATTTTAGTAATTTTATACCTTCGGCTCTTGTTTTGATTCGCTGCTGCTCCTCCCTTCATGTGGACTATAAGCCCAGATTGTCTTTTGCAGTAAAAATCCAATTCTCAATCAGTGAAGCCTCTCACTCCATCAGATTTTTCGGTTTTTTTTTTTAATTTTCAAAATCAAAGTAAGCAACCATTAATTTTTCTGAATGAATCAATGGAACTTGAAATTATTAAAAAATATTAGGAAATTTTAAATTCAACTTTTTTGGATAAAATATCAGATTTTTTAAATTTTAATTAAAATTTCACATAAATTGATTAATATAGAAAATGTACAATCCATCCAAAAGATTATTTTGGCTGATCACATAAATACGAAGATTAGATTTCGTTAATGTTTCCATTATCTAGTTGACATAGTAGTATTTTTTGAATAATTTTACCTTTTTGCTTATAAAAAAAAAACTTTTCTCCCTTATTTTTTTTCTTGGCCACCTTATTTGAGAAAAAAATAAAGAACAAAAAAGACATTTTAAATCTTTTATATTTCCTATTAATCATGTTTATATTTTTAGATCTAATTATCCATTTCGAATCATTTTGAAATTTAATTGATTTATGTGAAATTATATTAAAAAATCAGAAGGATTTGAATATTTTACTCAATTTTTTTAATAAATAATAGGTTTACTTCTTCTTAAATTAAATACTCAAATGTAATTTAAATATATTATTCCAAAAACTTTGTATTGTTATTGAAATTAAATTTGTCCAATAATTCCATGCATAAATATATGAAATATATTAAAGAATAATGATAGCAATTAAAATTGATTGTGTGTTTTCTTTATCTTTTTCCCGAGAAGTGATTGTTGAGATAAAAAGGAACCAGAAAAGCGTGGAATCGAACTTTGCCAATACCAGGCATATGAGACAGCACCATTAATCAACTTTTACTTAAAGCAGAAGCTGATGCATGTGTCACGAATCTACTTTGGAACCATCAGGTATACGTGACAGCACCATTAATCAACTTTTACCTTAGCTGTGTCACAAATTCATATTTTTAATAAAAAAATTAATAAATAAAAAAGATTTTTCTTTATAAATTAAAGATTTATTATATTTTACAATAATAAGTAAATATTTAAATTTATTTTGATATCATTTGTCACATGATTATATTTTTAACTGAAAGGCTCTAATTTATAAATTTCAAGATTCACTCTATTTCATGTGATTCGTGACATTTAACAGTGCTTACTTTGATTGTTTCATATTAACTACAAAATCCATTAAATATAGATATAGAAAAACAAAATAATATTAATATAAGTAAACAATATAATTTTTTTTTAAAAAATAATATTTTGATATGAATTATTTGAAATACTTTAGCATTTCCCAAAATTGGGATTTGTCTGGAAATCATATATATAACACACGTAGTTTATGGAAACAATCATTCGCATTTGATGGACTGTACGTCAACTTAGGCATGTACAATTAAGTCCAAATATATGTTCAATGAGATCTCTAGTTGCATATGCTACTTTGCTGTGCTTAGCAGGGTGAATAGAAAAAAGGGAAGTATGAAGAATTGAAGGAGAAAGTGAAAAGATTGAAATCATATTTCTTCTTTTTTATTGCTATGTATGCTAGGGAAGATGACAAAATTAATGAAAAAATAATAATTTTCTTTCCCTTATTACGTGGTAGACTTGAAAAATGAAAAGAAAAAAAGTGAAAAATATATTATTTTATCATTATACTTTTGTAATTTAAGATAAACAAATAAAATTTTTAAAAACAATAGATAATCTTGTAAATATTTAACACTCAATTCTCTCCTCCCTCATTTTATCTCTTGTAATCTTTCCAATTTGAAATGATTTGTTTTTATAAATAAAGATAAAATATAAAAATCTCTCATGTTTATCCCTCACTTTTCTTATCTATCAAGTATCGAGAAAATCATTTTTTTTTCATGTTTTTACTAATCCAATTTCCACGTTGCCAAGCAAAATTATCAAAGATTGACAAATATACTATTAATCCATTAGAATCTTAATCTGCTCATGACTTTTCAATATATATATATATATATATGATCTTGATAAGAAGAGGGTAGATTATACTTTCTCCTCATTGGTTTGTCGGTTTGACAAAATCTTCCTTGTGATATTATTTTTGACTCCTACACCTAATATGTTTTTTTCATTAACAATAAATTGTTATCGTGTTAACTTTTGTGTATTTGGTATATAATGGCCAAAAAAAATCTTAATTGAACTCTTATCTTACCAAAATAAATTTTACAAAGTTTGAAATGACACCTAATAAAATATTTTGAAGCTCAATTTGAATCCTCAGAACATTTCTAAGCAAAACTCAAGGAAAAAAGAGCATGCGAGACTATCGATGTTAAAATTCACCTTTATTTGATTTTTATAAAATTGAGATTTAAAAAGGTAAGCTTTTTTAAAGTTTTCCAATTTGTAACTCCCTTCTAACTGTTAAGAAAGTATAATTTGAGCTAAATTGGTTTTTTTTAATTGATTAGAAAATATATATATATATATAAAAGAGTATTTGACTAAATATGTACTAGAAAATATATTAAAATAAATGTAAAGATATATGAAGACCTAATAAAGAGTAAATATAAGCTTTCAAAAAAAAAAATAAAGAGAAAAAATTACTCTAATATAACTCCTCATTTTAAAACATGAAAATTTTGAATGCCCCTAACTTGGTGCATAAAAGATAAAAACGTTTCTTGTCAATGGGTTTGGTGTATAAGTCAACAAGCTAGTTTGTGGTGGAAATGAAACAAGGAAGAAGGATGCCAGCTTGGAGTTTCTCATGGACGACATGGCAATCAACTTCAACGTGTTTAGTGCATTCATAGTAGACTATCACTTAACAAAATAATCTATTGGATACGAAAAAATATGAAGATCTTTTAATAAAAATTTCAACCAAACAATTTCACAAATAATCATTGTCATAACACCATACTCAGCTTCTGTCGACGAGCAAGAACCAATAGTTTATTTCTTAATTATTTTGCCAAGAAAGATACAATAGGCAATAGCTAGTTTTTGAACGATAGTCACACGACATGCGGCCAATCGTAATCACAAAATGCAAGTAATTGAAGAGAATACCAGCCGAAAAGAAAAGGCCTAGCTAGAAACAATTTTCAAATAGCAGAGGAGACAATATGTTGGATCCATATGTGGCTTACGTGGAAGATGCATGCATGAATTGACTCAAAATGTGCACTAAATAAGTTGTAGGATAAATTAATCAATCAATGAGGTGCGATATAAAGAAGAATCTTATAGTTGCTCTGCTAATATTTGACTTCATGCTCAAATTAAAAAATAAAAAAAAATAAAAAAATATAACGCAGTTAAAAAATAAACTAGTATTTAATTAGAGAAACCATTGAATCTTATAGAATCAATATTTGTGTTTTTCTTTTAACTTTCAAATTAATTATAAACATTTATAAGTTTAAGGGTTACATACCTTACTCTAAATATCATAATTAAGAGCTAATTAAATCTAAAATTTTTGCTTTTTCACTTTTAAGATTTGTCAAATCTTCAACTATCCAAGTGTTTGGTTTCTAACCGTAATCATTTTCAAAAGCAAGATTTGTGCTAGTAAGTTTTATTTTTAAAACAAAAAGATCAAAAGTTCTTGTCCAATCTTATTTTTTTTTCAAACAAAGAAAATTATTATTTTTTATTTATAAATAGATGAGAAGTAGTTGGAAGCTTAGAGTTTTAGTTTGCTAATATAATATATTTACATAGCTAAATTAAATTGTAACCTTAAATACAACAATTGTATTTTAATTTAATTAAGTTTCTGTGAATTTAATTAATTTTTCACTTTATTTTGATCTTTTTCAATTAAGTTAACTTAAGTAATTATTCATAGTTAATTCCAATCATGTTACTTAATGTGTGTGATCGATTAAACTTCTAACATGTTGTCAATAAATATAAATCCTAATCAAATATCAATTTGATAATTGATTTATATTTATAAGTCATGAACGACATCTAACGATACATCATGACTACTCAAATGTTAAAAAGTTAATTAAAGAATTTGATAAAATTCTTCAATGATAAACCTGTCAGTGCAATATGATCCTTTCATTAAATATCTTGGATATATCATTAAGCAAAGCTCGGTGTCTACTTATGACATTTCATATTAGTTCTCATAATTCATTATTAACTTTATGAATTTAAGAAACTAACTTTCTTCAAATTCATCATATTTTGGTCAAAGAATTTATATAAGTTAATTAAGAATTGAGAACAAGTGAGGTACATCCCCTCATATCAATTGGGGTGATGAATCCTCTCTTGACCACTCATTTACTTTCACATGCTTTATGGTATATCCAAAAATACTTTGTTTAGACATTTAGTCACTTCTAAACTTATAGGGGTGAAATCAAAGTATGTCATTCCTCAAACAAGAAAACTTAGAGTCTTAAGTCTGAGAACTAGTTGTATGACTAATATATGAGAACATATTCCATAGACACTTGAGTGAAATATCAAATGGAGTTCTCATAACAGGCCATGTTCAGTGAATTTGTTCTTTAACAAGTACTCACTCATTATCCTCAAGTATCTCATACACTTCAATATATGAGATCGATTGTTTACTTTCCAAGTAAAGAGTCTTAATATGTATTAATCTTTGAGTATTGTCAATATCCTGTCTTGACAATACGATGACTATGAACAATTTTAGAAACATGACTTTGATGCGTAATGCTCTCATGATTATTATAACTTTATAAGTCTCTTGTGGACTTCATCCAGTTAGTATTTAATAACTCCTTATTATTGCGCTAACATGAAAAAAAACCTCTATCACATATAATTATGGGATTAAATATGCTTTAAATGATAATATATATTCTTTAACTAATCTAATTGGCTCAATGGTATATACCAACATGCTCTTTAAAAGAAGCAGTAAGTCTCAAGTTTTATTTCATAGGAAATTCAACAATTTTAAAACTTAAAACCCAACAATCTTCAAGAATATTAAGTGTGTAATAAGCAACAACATAATTATTTTTCTGATCATGAAGAGAATTATTTTGATGAATCTTAAAGATGCTCTTGAAAAAAAAAACGATTATGAAAGATCAAGCAAAATCTCATTTGTAGAAGACATGTAAATAACGCTTGCAGCAATGTCTTTGGAAATCACGTTAAGTAACCAAGAGGTGATCATTCTGTTAAAACACTTGAAATAAAGTATTAGAATTTTCATTAAATTTAGAGATATTGGTACTGGCTTCAAGAGTCATGCAAAGAGCACAGCTCCAATTTGGATAATTGTCACTAAGAATGCTCATAATTTGATAAAAAAAAATGTGGGGAGGACGACTACTCATAAATTGATTCGGTTGTAACAAGAGTGGTAAAGATGAGGTTCATGAAAGAACTGATAGATGATGAATCCTTGGAGACTGTCGTGAGAGTGGGAAAGAGATGGTTATGATGGTGGAAAAAGAAACGCCGTCAGCTTATCAAGTCGAGACTATATTAAGAAAATATAATTGGGGCTACATTGTTTTTTTTTTTGTATTGATTGGAAAATAAAGTGTATATAGATATATAGATATATATATATATAAGAATGTATGACTAAATATGCACAGAAAATACATTGTAATGGTATTAAGATGTTTATATTGTAAAGTGTTAAAATAAATTAAAGTTAAAGCTGGCGAAGTGTCAAGTGCGGGTGCTGTGAACAAAGCTAGAAAGCGGAGTGCTGTGAGTCCCTCCCTCTCGTTTTGCAACTTAAAAACCAAATGAAATGAGTCCCCAAAATGAAGTGCTAAAACCTTTGGAATGAATGCCGTCAACTCCCGAAAGAATGGTTGCCCCCACATAATGGAAGCATGTGCCGCTTGTCCTTTGAACGAAGAACAAGCAAAGTTCGTTGGTAGTTAAAATCGAGAGCAGCCCGAAAACAACAAGTTAACAATTAAAAAGTCGAACCAAGTCACGTCAATTTCAGTGGGTTTGCCTTTGATTTGCTTTTTTCTAGCCCACGCGCTTTCTATCCAACGGAAGCAGGCACTGAAATATGATCACACGTTTAAGTGTGACGACCGACGACGGATAAGCCTAGTAGCATATCTCATATTCCAAATTTTATAATAGATAAGAATTGTTTTCCTCCATCTATTTGTTGTAAATTAAATTTAAATTAGTCAACTTAGGAATAATATTTAAATCTAAGAACACGCGTTAAACAGGTAGGGGTCACAATCATAGCAGCAACCAGTACCTTGTCCTGCAAAAAGTCTTTCCTTTCAAGTCACACAATTTCCCATCCTTTGGCAATAATTCCTGCTTTAAATATATACTTGTCATTTTCCTACTGGTTCCCACACCCCAAAACTATCCTACGTCGAACCACATCCTATTTTTTCCTTCTTAGGTTTCACGCGGAAAAAAACGCGTTTGTGCTTTACAGTTTACACCTTATAAGTACGCCTCCAATAAAACAAAAAACATAAAGCCCTAAAAATTTTTTCCTCCTTGTTTTTCTCTTCCATCTCCAATGGCGAGTCCCTTAGGTTCGATGGAGGAGATGAAGGAAGTGTTCAAAAAATTCGACAAAAACGGCGACGGAAAGATCTCCCGCGACGAACTGAAAACGATCCTAAGTGCCTTAGGATCCCCGCCTTCTTCCGACGAGGTTGATCGGATAATGTCGATGATGGACAAAGACGGCAATGGCTATGTCGATCTAGACGAGTTCATTGCTTTCCATGGAACGAACATCAATAGCAATGGCGACGACAGCCAGTGTGGGAACAAAGAGCTGAAAGATGCCTTCGACATGTACGATTTGGATAAGAATGGCTTAATTTCCGCTAACGAGTTGCATGCCGTGTTGAAACGGTTGGGGGAGAAGTGTTCGTTGAGTGATTGTCGAAGAATGATTAGTCAAGTTGATAAAGATGGCGATGGCAACGTTAACTTCGAAGAGTTTAAGAAGATGATGACCAATGCTTGAATTGAAGTTTGGGAAATACCAGGTTAAGTGGTAGGTTTCTTTTAGGCTATCTAACTTGTTTTTAGTTTAGGAATCTAATGAAATAATATTAGATTTAGTTGTGTTTTGGAACTTTTAATTGTGGATATTACTGCTACTTTATATTAGACTTATTTTTCTTTTGAATATTTTGTTTACTTAGAACATTAATTTGTCTTTTTATATTTCATAAAAACTCAAAATTAATTGATAAAACTGGGATAAAAATATTGGAAGGAATATAAAAATTTGAGAAATTAGGATTTAATTGTTTGATGAAAACATGTGAACCCTTTTTAGGTCGTAGAAACGTGAAAATTGAATGCCTTTCCTTTATACATAATAAACAATTTGATTAATTAGGGAATATCAATTTAATGGGAAACCGTTGGATTGGGTCCGCATAAATTAGGGTTTTCCTTCTTTTTTTTCCTCTATGGTGATTCGTGTGGAGTAATGGGCACGGAAAAACTGATAGGGGCAGATGCTGAGCTCAACACGGTTTTGGTTGGTTGCTTACTTGCTTTTACATTAAAATCCTTTTGTACTTTCTTTTCTCTTTTACTTTCTTTTATTTCTGGTAATAAGTTATTTTCAACTTGTGGGATTTTTATTTAATCTTAATTAGATTTTTTATGAATAGAGTTAGAGCATTTTTAAAAAATAATTAGTTACATAATTAAAAAAATTTATATATAATTTAATAATCATTTATCTAAAAATTTAAATAAAATTCAAAAATTATTGGATATATAAAAATGCGCATTAATAATAATAATGGTGTCATATATATATATCTGAATAAAATTATAAAAAGAATCTCTCTCAATATTAAAAAATAATTTTTTATACTCAAATGAATTATTTTGTTACTTTGTGTGTTTTAATTTTTATTTTATTTTTAATTATTAATTAACATATTGGGTTATTAAGTTGAATTATTAAGATATAATATGTTATGATATACTATTAGATTGAATTATTAAAATATAATATGTTATGATATGTTTAGATTTATATTAAAACTTAATGGATTTGGATTAGTAAATTCACTTTTATATTTTATTTTTTTAAATTTGATAGGTTTAACATATTAGTTTAGAATTTATTTGTTAGGCTTAGCTAGCAATATACTAATCATAATGATTCTAATTTTATCAAACAATTTGAAGAATAAAACTAATTATTAAATAAAAAATTATTTTGAGAGTCATTAAAAATATATATAATAAATTATATTATATTGAAAGAAATATAATTATTTTATTTTATTAATTTGTATATATATATCGTTGTTACTTAAAATTTGAAACATATATAAATGTTAGAATGCATTGGTTATTTGGAATAAAAAATGATAGATTGATGAAATTTTAATAATACTGTAATTTATATTTAAGAATTATATAATAATTTATTTATTTTTAAATATTAAAATTATAAAAAAATAAAATTTATATAACAAAAAAAAGAAGAACATGATAAGTAAAAGATAGAATCCACATATGACATAATAAAAAAAAGATTAATTATTTGTATAAATTTGTAAAAGAAAATTTATAGAGATTTTAAAAATGTATAAGTAAATAGAATAAAAATAAATAAATAAATATAAATAATATAAATTGAAAAAAATAAAAAAACTTTAAAATTGAGTCCAACACATGAAATTATTTTGTTATTTTTTGTTTATATTAATTATTAAATTAAAAATTATTTTAAGGTATTAAAAAATTTATAAAAAATTAAAAAAATTATATAGTATGCAAAAAAATTTTCAAATTTTGGGAGGTCATGGCCACCCATCTCATAAGGAGGCTGTGCCTCTGTTTATAATGTTTAAATTTGTCATTTTTTGTACTAGTATTACTCCAGTAGATACAAATTAAAATAAAACCATCATATTTAATTAAAATAAGTAAATGAACAAAATAATACTAACACTAATAATTCTCATCTATTTATTTATATGGAGGAAAAATATGCTTTTTAAATTGTTATCAAAATTAAAATTTTTAGACATAATGCTCATATAATGTTGATTTTTTTAGTAGAAAATGTCACATAGTCATGTTATTATATTATATTATTATCAATTATGATATGTTAGTATGTCACGTTAGCATCATGCGATTAAATCAATCATTAATCATAAGAGTTTGTTTGACTAAAAAAATTACAATGGTTTATTTGACTTAAAATAAAGGCATAATATAAAAAAACTCTTAAACTATGCAAAAAAATTCAAATAAGTCTTTATACTTTTATTGTATTCGATCAAACTCTTATATTTTTATTTTGAGCCAAATAAACTTTTATATTTTTTATTTTGAGTCAAATAAGTTTTTATAACTAATGATTGATTTAGTGAAAATGTCATTTGTTATTTTATATCATGTGATATTGATGTGATATCTTAAAATATCATAATTGATTATGATATGACATACTATTGATGATATGACATGTTAATTTAACATAATAATATGATCATATAACATTTTTTACCATCCACATCAATGTTATATCAGTGTCATGTAAATATAAAATGACTAGTAATATTTTTACTAATAAAAATTAGTCAATAATTAAATATCTCATAATTAATGATGATATGATATGTTAATTTGATATAATAACATGATCATGTGACATTTTGCTCTTTCTACATCAATGCTATATTAGTGTCATGTAGATATAAAATGACAAATGATATTTTTACTAATGAAAATTAATCAATTATTAATAATAAAGGCTTATTTGATTCAAAATAAAAATGCTGAGACTTGATTGAATGTAATAAAAAAATAAAAACTTATTTGAATATTCTTGAATAGTTTGTGGCTTATTTGAGGATTATGCTTAAAATAAAAATAAAAAAGTTTTTTCTTAATTGGGGGAAATGAAATTTGAATCTTGCTTTCTAAGTAAAGGATCATATACCAATTAATGAGCTAAATGCTCAGGTGCAAAAAAATTTAAAATTTATTTTAATTTTCTTGAATAATTTAGGGTTTTTTTGTTAGAATTATGTCAAATTTTTACTACTATTTTTCTTTAGAAAAGTATAAAGATGGAAATCAAATGAAGGCTCTGTTTGGCAATTGAAAAATAATTTGTTAAAGTAAATTTTTGGCATAATATATAAAAGAGTTCCTAAAGTGTATAAAAAAATTCAAATAAGCCTTATATTGTTTTTTACGTTCAATCGTATCCTTATACTTTATTTTGAATCAAATAAGCTATTATATTTTTATTTTGTATCAAATTGGCTTAATTAAAATGTGATTTGTTATTTTTATATTGAGTGACATTAGTGAGACATGCAAATATATTATAATTGATGATAATGTGGTGTATTGATATATCATAATTAATGATAACACTACATATTAATTTGACATGATAATTTACTATATAATATTTTTCACTCTTCACATCAATGTTATATCAATATCATGTGAATATAAAATGATAACTGATATTTTAACTAATGACAATTAGTCAATTATTAATTATAAAAGTTTATTTGACCCAAAATAAAGTCTGATGGCTTGATTGAATGCAATAAAAGATAATGGCTTATTTGTATTGATTTTTTGATCCTTATGCTAAATTTTTTTCTATGTAAAATATTTTATAAGAAACTCTAATATTTTCTATTAAAAATATTTTCTATTATTTGAGATCAATCATGCAGAAAATATTTTAAATCATGATTCACTTTCAAAATTTTTTATCATAACACTAGAAAAATATCAACATTCATCAATTATAGCATAAAAATGTCAGACATTTATCAATTATGCAAGACATTCAAAACATTTTTTCAACAATTATAAAATTATATATATTATAATATTGAATCATTTTTTTTATTTAGTGCTCAACATATTACTATATTGATTAGTTTGTTGAGTGAATAAATCCTAAATTAGAAATTAAACAAATGAGAGATTTTCATATATGAAAAACTTATTTCTTATTTCATATAAAATTTTTCTTTAATTGACTTTAATTATTTTGTATTATATTAGAGATTGTAATATTTTAGAAAAAATAATTATAGTGATATGATCCCTATGACATAGTTAGTCTTGTCTTGAGAAAAAGAAAATAAATAAAGAGATGAAAAAAACAGTTCTTTTTTTTTAAAAAAAAAAGAGCTGAAAAAAATGTAAAATAATGATACTTTATTACTTTATTGCTTTGTAAGATCCATTTCACAAGAGTAAGAGGACAACATATTCCAAGGGCGATTGATCTCGAAAGATAGGAGAAGAGATAGAAAATGAATTACATAAGAAGGAGAGGACAATATACAGTTTAATAGCACGCCACCATAAACAATGAAAAAATTTTAACACTATTAATGATTGGACTTATATTATTAATTTCGAAAAATCAATTTATACAAATCATTTTACTAGAAATTAAATCTACTACTTTGATAAGGTATAGAGGTTAATTGTATAATTTTCTCAATTATTAATTTTTAGAAATCATTGTATAAAGGTTAAATATACCACTTTGATAAAATACAGAGATTAATAATATAATTTTACCAAATATTTAATATTTATAAAACTTTTTCCCATCTCAAATAGATATATAGGCTTCAATCATATCCAACGGAGCCTAAACTTGATTCCTTGTTAATTGATGAGCTTAAAGCAATTTTTGAGGGAATTGTGCGTGTTGAATACGACTTTAGACTGGAAGATAAAATTTGTAATGAGTTGGTCAAAAGAATAAAACACAAAAATAAAAAAAAAGAAAATTGTTCTTTAGGGAAGGTCCACGTATGGTGTTTCCGTCAACTGCCACTGATCGGTTGGTCCAAGCAAGATAAAAAGAAAGAGAAACTTTCTGTTTTAACATTTGAAAAGCCAGAAAAAAAATTGGTAAGCTGGACGGTTGCTTAAATATGATTTTTTGTCCCTTTTTCTCTCATGCTCTTTCAAATTAAAATTTAAAATAGAATGTACTCACTTTCTTTTGAGTTAGTGAAAAGAAAAAGTTATTTTTGAAACTAGGGGAGGTTGAATGTCTTTGTCATATTGGATCTACAGGGTTTTATATGTAACTTGTTTACAGCTTTATGTCAAGTGAAGGAAAATAAAATTTATGATAGCAATTAATTTGTGAATTTTCTAAATTATAATAATTTTCAATATATTAAATATGGCAATCTTAATAAGAGGCGTTGTTTGATTAATATTTTTATTTTTTTATAAAAATGGTGAAAAAAAGAAGAAGGTGAAATCATCTTCCAATGGGAGCTTAAACAATTATTGCTTTCTTTCTCTTCCCTACAAACTCCCAAATATAGCCTAAGAACAAATTGCCCTTTTTTTTTCTCTTTGGCCAGAGAATAATTAGCTATTATTTTATACTTACATCCCAGTTTAGCATTTTTTTCCATCTTCTTCCCCTAATTATTAATACGAAAGCATGGGAATATAAAAATGTAACGAATTCTCTGGACTGCTTAGATGCTTGGTTCATATATTTAGCACATGATCTATATTGTCAACAAGAAGCTTTCATGCTTCAACCACAAACCTGAAGAAAATCATTTGTAAGGGATGTTATTAAACAACATTGAAGGCTCTGTTGTTATTGTATATTATTGCTAATCCTTGATTTTATGCAGCCACTGTTCCTGCCTACAGAAAGAAAGATCTTTCAATGGGAATGTGGAGGTCCTATATACTTGATCTTATATTAAAAGTCCAAATAGTAACTTCTGAATGGTGCAGGGAGGTGCTTCCAAGTTCAAATCATAGGAAAGAGAGACCTCCCTTTGTACACCTCAACTCAAGCCTAATGAGCTTTCATATGTACCAAAAAGAAAGATGCAAAGTCGGTATCACGCTACTCATCCCTCATTTGCATTAATCAATGCCTAATCCTGTTAATCTAGGAGATTGGATGCAAAGGAATAAAGGATTTTGGTGCTGTACAAACGTTCACTAGTTTGAAACAGTCTCTTTTATTGCAAGCCAATCCAGGTTTGTGGAGCAGAAGCTAGAGCATCTATGCCCCGTCGAACCAAAGTTTGATTCTTACCAAAATAAAAGGTAAAAAAAGAGACCTATCTGAAGAAGCAGGGTTTCATTGCTTTCGTTAGCTTATTGAACTTTATGGTCTTTCCCTCCTATTTACTTTGTTGACCATATAAAATGGTTATCCTTTTTCACAAAATATGGTTCTCATTTATCAAAAGAATAGCAAAGAATAACTAATGAGTCTTTCCGGGACACTTCCAATACATCAATACTTTCAAAGTCAAAATACGATGACATGAATATGATGGGGACAGCATTCCCAAGACAACCAGCAGAAAATGTTTCTCTTTTTCCTGACAAATACAAATATGTATATGTGGCAACAGATCCTGGCTTAATGTCAAAACCGCCAGTGTTCCCATTGCTATCATTAATCACAAGTTCAATTTGGCATTAATTGCTTACAACCTTGGAAAAATCTTGGTCTTCACTGCAAAACCATGCAATCATATGATACACGTTGGTTGGCTTGGCTTGCTGCACGCTGCTTGGACAATGAATCTCCTTTCTGATATACCTTATCTTCCGCCTGATTTACTTCAGTTTCCTTCATGTTGGTTGCCTGCAATGCTGCTGCTTCCAGGATATAAGCTTTCACCTCCTGGAACCTCTCCTCTGACAAAGAAACCTCAGCTAGGAGTCTCCTAGCATATGCCTCCGATGCATCATCATAATCCTCGCGCCTCTTCAGCACCATATGTCCACCGATCTCCCAAACAGCAGGGTTTACTTGAGTATGTAGCAGCTCCTGACTAACTTCTCCTATTGCTTGTTTCTCGGCATAACACTGCTCACATAAATAAGCTAGTGAATACTAGTTCGAAAAAAATTCCATAACGAGAAATGACAAAGAATGATGAAGCAGTTCACTACTTAGAAAAAACCACTGATAGACAACGAAAACCATACAATATGATGAAACGGAAACATTACCTGAGGCAAGAGGAAGACTCTTTTTCCGCAATCAGAAATGAGAACATTGAAGGGGATGTTGCTAGTTTGAAGGAAAATGCAGGTATTGGCAACAACATCAGACACATCCTGCGTTGACTTCCCGCCCTCGAAAACAAGGCCTCTAACTGGATAGTTCAACAGCTGTGAAGCAATAACTCCCGTATCTTGCAATCCTTTCTCTGTGGATATTCTTTGGATTGGAGCTTTCTCAATTGGGAAGGGCACTTCTAAATAATATGCCTGCAAGTTATTTAGCAACATTTACAATATTATTAGCACAACTCATGCTTAAATGGTACATTAATCTGCTGATTAAGAGGAAATCCCAAGAATTACTTAGGCTAAATGGACAAAAAAAAAATAGTACCTGAAAGTGGAGGTGATTAATAGTGGCGAAAGCGCCCAGGCTGTTATAACCAACTCTAAAGAAGGGATCTGCTGCTTCTTTGGCCAAGTGGATAGCAAGCAGGAGGCTGTCATGATCAATCCTCTGAGGCAAGCAGTCAAGAACATGTGGTATCAACAGAACATGCCCATATTCAATCGGGCTCACCTGATGATCCAAATCGACAAACCAATTAGCTAAGAACAGCCAAATTACAACACACCATTTTGGCGCAACAACAACTGAAGAAATTTCAGTTGCTTACATTGATTGCAATAACATTAGGAGAGTAGTTTGGCTTTGCAGTGACAGGTGCACTAGCCAAGAAATGACTCTTGCAGTCATTGCTTTGTTCAAACCTGAAAAGAACTTCTTCTTGTCCAACTTTTGTGAAGTTGAACTTAGAATCATCAAAGGGCTGAAGGACTTGATCTATCCGAAACTCCGTACTCCGTTTCTTGAGGTGGCGCCCCTCATTGAGCTGCGCGATAAAACCATACTTCCCTGGGATGATCTTTGACTTGCAATTCGTTACATCATAGCGAAATAAACCTCGTCTCATTCGGTCCGCCCATTGTTCAAGCAACAGATTCAGGAATGATGGTTTAGGTTGTTCCTCGGATGGATATATCTCCCCATATTCCCCTGAATCGTCTTGCTCTTTCTGGAATGCATACAGAGGTAGCGTCGATGCTGCAACGTCCGTCAATAAGATTAATAGGCAAATCAAAGAAAAACCAATAATCTAACAGAAATATTTAAAGAATTCCACAATCGTCACAAGGAATATGACATTTAGCTGACAATATATTGAGACAACCTTTATAAGTTGCTAAATTTGACATTTTGATAGTATAAATGGTTTTATATGTACAAGCTGGTACTTATGATAATTGCAAACACATTCCATAATTGCAATTATTTCTCCTAGGTCGTAACAATTCAAATTTAATAACATAAAGAAAAATCAATTTCAGCCACAACAATTCTCAAGCCTTGTGCTCCAAGTTTATGAATCAAAAGTTCAATCTTGAAGATTGGATTCAAAATTTTGAACAGCAAACGCAATTAATGCTTTAAGCATCAACTTGACCCGACGGTGTTCCAACAGAAACAAAAACCAGAAATGAAATAATATTGTAGAAAACCAATACAAAAAGCATCCTGCGACTTCATGCAAGCAAGGCTTTTTACGCCATTCAATTTTTAAAGAAACAACACAAACATTTAAAAGCTTCCGTCTGTTTTCTTCTGAATAAAGAAAACCAAATATCGAAAGAGTTAGAGATTACAAAGATAATGGAAAAAACCCAATGAGAGGCAGAAAAAGCAAGGAGCTTATCGATGTATACCAGGTATGCAACAGTTTCCAAGGCAATTCCTACCGCACCCAACTTCTTGTTTGTCATAAGCATCGTCTTGGTAATTCGAAAGAACCGTTGCAACCCTCTTAATAGTCAGCATGTTAAACGAAAAGAGAATGTTTGAAGATGATTGTTTTGGTGAATGTTGAGAAAGCTGTTGTGGGATTTTTGAGAGGGAGATTTTCAATAATTTCTTCTTCTTCTTAATTCTTTGATGTGACTCTCTAACATCGTTTCTTTTTATTTTTGGAATGAGGCGGTAAAAAGAGGGGGTGCCAATTCCAGTGCTTGTTAGCCTTTGTTTATATAGGACGTTATCGGAAGTTGAAGTTGAAGGTTGAAGGAATTTTTTTTTTTCAACGCATTGAAATTTGATAGAATTTGGATAAGCATATTACCTAAAAAAACCTTTATAAAATATTTTAAAAAATTTTAATTTTTTATTATATTAATAAATTTTTATATTTTTATTTTAAATAAATTTTTTTAACTTTTTATATAAATATAAAATGATAAGTGAAATGTTAATTAATAATAATTAGTTAATTAATAATTCTAAATATTTATTTAATTTAAAATAAAAATAAAAAAATTTGATTGGATGTAATAAAAAATAAAAAATTATTAAAATTTTTTTAAAAATTTAAAAAATTTTCAAGTATTATATCAATTTCAAAATACTCAAAAATTGCTATCATAGAAGGGGAAAATAATCTGGACCTTGGGGTTTGAAGTTTGAACCTATTGGCCCAAAAGAGGAAAAGGTTTAGAACACCATGAGTTTTGTTCACAATGCAATTTGGGAACAAAGCCCACGAAAATCAAGAACTTAAAGACTGTTTCAGAAAATCTTTTAGCGAAACAAAACAAGTGATTTAAAGGGTGTGAAATTTAAAGTATCTTTTCTCTGTTTGATTAAAATTTGAATATAAGAATCTGTCATTATAAAAGACACTTTATAGTCTCTTAATTAATAAAATAATCCTTCCAAAGATGTGGGTAATTAGTAGGAAGCCACTCTGTCCCTGACCTTTCGATCCGACGTGGAGAGTTCAGATAAAAACCAAAAAATATCCTTGATTTTTTAAAAATATAACTAGACGTCATAATTCAGATAACATTGGTATGGATAGGTGATATAACTAATTAAAAATTATAATTTCTCTTGATTAAAAAATTTAAATTAAACTTTATGTCAATTAAATATTGCAAAAATCATATAGAAGAATAATTGATACACCTGATGGTAACTGTAAGATTATTAGTCAATAATATTAAGCGATGATGTACCATTCTAAAGAAGCTTGGTCATTTTTGTAGGATCGTGGTCACAGACCATAACTATATAAGGTTTTAGTAAGGATTTGATTATTGGGTCATAAGTCCATTACTATATGCAAGAGCTTTCTTGTTTGTTATTTCTACAAAGACCTTTATTTTGTTACTAACTTTTTTTTGCTGGAATATTTTATTACTAACTTAATTAAATTGACACATGTTTATTTTTTTATTATTAAATTAATACATATTTAGTTTTAATTCTTTTTATTTTTCTTCTCTTTCCCTCTTTACAACTTATTTTCAATCAGCATCCCTCTTTCTTTTCCCCAACTCTGATAGACATTTACTCGTCATTCAAACTAGCAGCAAATTTAACAATAAAATTTTAAATATCAATTTTTTAAATTTATAATTACAATTTTAATTTAATTTTAAAATATAAAATATTAATTTTTAACTTTTTATTTAATTTCATTTTAGTATTTTCATTTTTTTCTTATTTTTCTTCTGATCGACCAGCCTTCAGAGATGTGGTTAGTGTAATGGAATGTCAATTTGGCACTCCTTGTGGCCGAATCTAATTGCTAGAGCGCTAAATCAACACTTCCAGCAACTAGATATAGTGGGGAACGTCAATCGGTGCTTTTTGCAGTCAACGTCGATGTCGTTGCCGCCTTCTATTGGAGGACTTTAGAGAGAGGAGAGAGGTAGAAGATGGGTAAAGAGAGAAAGAAAATAACAAAAATGAAAAAAATGTATATTATATGTGATGATAATTTTTAACTTTATTTAAGTGCAATTTTGTCCAACAAAATTTTTGACCTACTCCCCTACCCTTGGATTAGCTATTACCAAGGTCCCTCTTGCTAATGACTACTCAGGTGTCTCAAGGAATGGTCATATTAATCTAGACTAATCACTATGATTTTATTAATTGCAGTTCATAGTGTAACGAGAAGAAAAAGAAATCTGTTTGACAAGAAAGACACGTGAGGATCACGTGATCAACTCTCATTTAAAGAACATGTGTATAGTAAATTATGTGTATTTGCTTTTTCCTGTTGTTGTTTACTTTAGTTATAGGTAGTTAGGCTTTAACTAACTTTTTAGTTAAAGCTTTTTTCCCTTCTTATGACGTAGACATTTACTTTTTTCTTCTTAGTATATAAATAAGATTGCTCTGTAATTTTGGAATTAATGAGAAATAAAATTCTTTTCACAATGTTCTTTTTTACTTTTAGCTTTTGCAATTCTTCATATGGTACTAGAGCTTTGTTCAAAGATAGGGATTCTTCATTGTTGATCTTTTGCAAACCATTTTAAGGATTACAATTAGGTTTTGATTTTTCCTTTTCTTATGTAGTTGAAGTTTTGGGTATTTCTACAATTACTTTAAAGATCACATATTTGTCTTTCCTTATCAATCTTGATTTGTTGAGAAGTGAATTGAGAATTCGTATTGTGGCCAATTTATTTCTAGAATCTTGATCTGTTAGCTACGAATCATAGTTTTGATATTGAATTTTTAGTGTTTCGATTAATGGCTGAAGTTTCAGAAACAAGAGTGAATAATTCTACAAGCCCTAGGTCTGGCAATTCACATTTAGAAGATCTTCAATCTCCCTATTATGAGCACCACACTAATAATCATGGATCAATAGTGGTTAATCCCAAGTTGACTTCTAGCATTTATATTACTTGGAGTAGATCTTTTCTACTAGCTTTATCCATAAGAAACAAGGTCAATTTCATTGATGGAACTATCTTAAAATCATGCGTGACAGATCTTTTGTATAGTTCGTGGATTAAATGCAACAATTTGACAGTGGCTTGGCTTTTAGACTCTATTACACCACCAATTGCTTTGACTATGTTTTACATGGAAATGCTGCAGAAATTTGGAGTACTCTTAAATAGAATTTTGCATAACCTAGTGACACGGATGTGTGCAATTTACAATATACTCTAGATACATGAATCAAGGTACTAGAAGTGTGGATTCATATTTCATTGAATTAAAAGGCATTTGGGAAAAGTTAAGGAATTTTAGGCCTTTGCCACATTATGAGTGTGGCAAGTGTAATCCAGCTTGCTTCAATAAGTATTCAAATCAATACAAAAAAGATATGGTTTTTAGGTTTATCAATGGACTCAATAAGTCATTTTCGACATTGAGGTCTTAAATCATATCAATGGAACCACTTCCAAAGTTGGACAAGGCATATATTATGGTTTTAAAAGAAGAATCATAAACGAGTTTGCTGATTTAGTCGAATCTAGCAATAGAATCATTAGCTATAATGGCAGCTGTGGACAACAAGAAGAAAAACAAAGCATACTTGTAGTTATTATGGAAAGAAAGGTCATACAAAAGATAAGTGCTATAGGATTATAGGATTCCTTGAAAATTTTAAGTTCATAAAGAATAAAGGAAATTTTAAGAAATCAATAGTAAATAGTGTTATTGCTACAAACAATGTATCTACAGAAAGTTCTTTGGAAAATGATCAAGATGAAGAAGTTGCTGGTACAAACTCCATGTCTCTAATATCTCTCATTAAGCATCAGGTTCAGAAACTAATGACTTTCTCAATGAGAGTGGTATAAACAGTGAAGATTATCTTGAAAGCTCATCAAGCACTCAACAAGCAAAGCCTTCCTTGGTAAACTTAGCCTTTGCAGGTATTATTTCTGGTTAGTCTTGTTTTAACACCTCAAATAATCTTCCATCTAAATACCAGAACACCAATCAATTCATAATTAAACAAGATTCCTAGACAATAGACACTGGTGCTACTGATCACATATTATGCTCTTTATCTAGTTTTGTTTCTGTTGTACTAGTTGAAAATTGTTTTGTTCATTTGCCAAATGATGCCAAAGCCATTGTCACTTACATAGGAACAACCAAATTGACTTCTTTATTGACTTTGAAAAATGTTTTATGTGTTCCCTCCTTTCATTTTAATCTTGTGTTAGTAACTAAACTCACTTCTTGTCAAAAAGCTTCAGCTCTCTTTACTAATGAGCTTCATGTTATCTAAGATCTCCTTTCATGGAAGGTGACTGGGGTTGCTAAAGTTTTCTCAGGATTATACTTCTTGCAAGACCATCAAGATGAACATTACCTATCAAAATTTAGTTTTGACAAACTTGTACATTTTCCATTATAGCATATTGTTAATGCTTGTAAAACAGTGTACACTTAGTTTGATTTATGGAATTTTAGGTTAGGCTAAATACCTTTGAACAAAATAAGTGTCTTTAAAAAATAATATCCTGGCATTAATTTTTCACAAGATTTGATTTGTGACACAAGTCATTCTGCAAAAATGAAAAAGTTACTATTTCCTATTCTCATTAAGAGTACAACTTTTCCTTTTGAGCTTGTGCATGCTAATGTTTAAAGACCTTATGCTATTCCTACCATCAAGGTCAATGTATTTTCTCACTTTGGTAGACGATTTCTATTGTTGATTTCTTACGCAAATGCACATATCATTAACAAGTAATATAATAGAAAGTATAATTCGTTCCCACGGAGAATTAAATTAATTCCTAATTGTTAACTACTAAAATTATAACACCCTAACCTTATCTAGACAATCTAATTATTAAAAAGCAAATTTGAAACTAATAACTAAAACTAATCTAAATCTATCAACAAAATTATTTGATTAAATTCGAGTGACTATCAAACCTAAGATTATGATATTCCTCAATACTTCTTCTGATTATTGTCTCTCTCTTTCAACTTAGTTTAATGGATTAAGTTATTAACTTAGAGGCCTAATTTATTTATAAGTTTCTGTTGAGTTT